ATTTCTCAGTTAACCTCATGGTGTCCCCTGCACCGTATACGCTCTGACTGACTAGCGCAACAAAGAAAGCTTAAATGTTGTTATTACCACAGTCAGATTAGTCATGGTGCTATTCATAGTACTGAGAAAAAAAACAACCTCAGGCTCTGGTTCACTCAAACACTTTCCAAAAGTCTAAAGAGCAGAGAGTGTCTGAATGGAAAAGAAATTCAAGGTCAGGACTTCGGAAAAGGGAGGACTCTGCTACGTAGAAGTTTGCCCGACAATAACAACAGCACCCAGACCGAGATGCTCTTGGTATTAATAATGAATAATGCATTTTTGTGTTGTGCGGAACAGCAGGGCCATCTTGATACAGGACTTTGCTCCCATAATCTTTCTGCCCAGACCGTTTTAATCCAGGGTCTGCTGGTATCTGGCTATCGGACATCTACAAGTAGATGAAAGCGTTCGTACCAAGGGCAGCTCCCTGGAGCCGGGCCCAAACCCCGACAAAAACCCTCGCCCATCTGTCTTCATCTGGCACCAGCAGCCAGAACCACACATGACAGGGAACCGGGATAAAAGCCTGTCTCGTTTTGTGACAAGCAATAAAGAGCGCTCTAGCATTCATTTTTCATTATAAAGTCTTTGCTCTCTAACAATTATGCAACAAATTACTGATGTCTCTTCTTCTTCATCTAGCAGGCTCCCCCAAGGAATCAATCACAACCAGGGATATCAATGATATGCGGCACCACGGGGGGTTGACAAGAGGGCATTTTCAACTCTACACCCTCCATTTTTGTATCCAGTAAAGCCTCTAATCTGAAATAAGGTGCATGCCTGCGCATCAAAATCTATTTGCTCCCGAGCCACAATGAGGAGAAAATGTACCTTTGCACTAATGCATCAAAGTGGCTGAAAGTTGGCCAGTTTTCAATGTTTGTTTGTGTGTGTCAGTGTGCGCATGCATGCTTCTGCAAGGAGGGTTGCTCAAGGCCAGCATCAACCTAACAGGGGATCAAGTGGATGGTGTGTGCGTGAGAGAATACATGTCTGTGTGTGTGTGTGTCTGCTGGCCAGGGTCAAACCAAGAAGTTTGTTAACATGGAGCATTAATCTCGCTCAGGCCAACATCCACACATCGCTAAATCAGCGCACGCACACACACTCCCTCAGTTCTCCGCGGTGAGCCGAGATGCCCACAAGTAAATTTTTAATCACATGCGCTCTAATCACTCAGGCTCACAGTCGGTCTTAAACCACAGTCATGACCTCCACTTGCGCACATTAAGAAGACCTCAGTGAGCACCGCATCCTCCTGCACCCCTGAAACCTGCATGCCCGTAAAGCCCTTCCCTGTCAATACCAACTGCACAGAGAAGAAAAAAAAGACAACGCTCACCATCTGTCCTCCTGTATGATTTTCTCTGCCCCTTTTTTTTCTCTGTGTGTGCAAGTGTGTGAGCTCTGCGATGCTTAACTGTCCCCTTCCTTCAAAGCTTTGCTGATACTGTTGCATTTTCTGAAAACCCCACCCACCCACCCTAAAATCACCATCTGGCTCCTTTTCACCTCTCCCCATCACCAGAATGTCATCTTTGTTGGCTTGACGGGGTACATGGAGGCGTTTCTGTCATTCAGAGTTAAATTTGAATAAAAAATAACTGCATTATACTGTATGCAGACACTCCACATCCTACTTCTCCAGGTTATTTTCCTCCCTTTCTTTTAGAAATTCCTATCTCACACAAATGGAGGAATTTATGCTACATACCAGCATGTCTGACTCTTTCCGCCTCCCGGGAACCAGTAAACAAAGACTTCTCCTTTTCTGGCTCGGGGCCTAAGAACGACCGTTTTCAGGGACACTGTGCAGCAGCCAGACACAGAGCAGTATATCATAGTCTGCTACAGTATAAATAAACTCCTTTCTCAGAGCCTTTAAAGGGCACCCTCCATCTAAAAAGACTTTTGTGATGAGCTTTAACACAGCCGTGCAGTGAATCTTAGTCAGCGTACTTTATCTTCGCGTTTTTTTGTGGAGGGCCTGTGTGGCCCGTGCGTTTGTGTGTGAGCGTTTATTCGTAAGTGTGTCGCTGTTCTATCCCTCCCTGCCCCCTCCATCAACACCACCTCGCCTCACCTCCATTGTTATTCCCTGCATCGCTGTTCTCCCAACAGAGTGCACATTCATCACTCGGTCTTGTGCCTTTCTTGTGGGCACGCCAGAGTGAGAGAGAAGAAAAAAGAAAGAAAGAAGAAAGAAAGAAAGTCAGGAACCTTTTTAGGTCCGTGCTTGTAAATGACCTGCCGCGAGATGGGGTTTATTAAGTCACCTCGCCTCCTTTCTCGCTAACCTACTTCCCGAAGACAGACGAGGAGGCGAGAGACAGACGGACAGAGGGGAGGCAGGTAGACGCACGGATCAAAAAGGAGCAGCAGTGGACCGGGTTCGTGCGGGGGGCGAGGATTGATGAGATTTCTCAGTATTTTACGTGGGCCGTCCATCCACCTGCTGTCAAAGCCATTTAAAAAGACACAAAAACAAGAAAATCTGGGAATTATTTCTGTTTTGTGAGACTTTTACAAAGGAGTCCCACGGTTATTTGCTTTACTTGATGGGGAAAAGGGGGGAAACACCATTCTAGCTTCCTGGAGTATTTGATGCCTTTAAAATGTCTTGTTTTGTCTGACCAAAAGTCAAAAACAAGCACCAAATAAAAAAATGGTGTCGGGGGGCAAATTCTTATTTTGACAAGCTGGAGCCTGCAAATGTCTTTTTTTTTTTCATTTTAAGCTTACTAAATGACTTGAATTATTCATTAGATGTGACAGCTATTTCACTGAGTGACTGAGCTGAAATAGGGACAACTCCTCTGATACTCTTCATGTTTATTTTAAATCTTTTTTATTTTATTCCCCCACCCAAGTAAATGATTTCTGCAGGGACAGACTTGCTTTGAGCGTGGCCCATAATTTTCTGTCAGCTGTCAGATTAATGAAGTACCCCATTAACATGTAACCAAAGTACATTTTATGTGTGTGTGTGTGTGTGTGTGTGTGTGTGTGTGTGTGTAAAGAGCCACTTCAAGAACCAACAGTGACAACAATGCGCATTTCCTTCCAACAAGGCAAATACAAACCTCTGTAAGTGATGCAGCAGACTGAAAAAACTTCAGCCAACAACAAACTAATCAACTAATGGAACAGAAGCAAATCTGTGTTACGGAAAATATTGAACAGGCTCCAGCAACAGCTGGAATCATTCTGCCATCATGCTAGATTCAATAAAGGTATAAATAGTCTGTCATTAACAGTTGCCCTCCTCTCCTCCGGGTGTACGAAAGAGTTCACACTGATAATCCCGCGCGGTTAATCTCCGCGTGAAGTTTAATTAATTTCCCGGCACAGGTGTTGACACTCTCTTAATCTGACTGAGCAGGAGAAATCAATCATCCCGACAAGCTTTGAGGCGCTGGCAGAGAAGATCGCGATAAATACACCGATTCCATCTCGGTGTATAGCTGGTTTTAGGCTAATGTGTCCGACAGTGTAAGCGTCTCAGCTCAGACAGGACGCGCTTTCGTGCAGTTCTCCAAAATCCTGACTGCAAGTCGCTGGCATGGATGACGAAAGCATCTGCCCAATGATCGACCAGTCGACAAGCAAACCAGTTTTCCAGGTTAAAGCTGGGTTTATGGTCCAGCGCAGCTAGCGCTGTTCGCACTGCTGAGTGCAGTGAGCTCTGTTGCCAGATGGAGGCAATGCACAAAGTATGCAGTACAACAGGTCTGTTTTACTGTGCTTGTGCTTTTGCTGGTCTGTCAGCCGGCCGAGGAGAAAAGGGGTATTATACAAATATATATACAAATCATTTACAGTTTTGGTTTTTGCCTTTTTGCAAGTATTCCATATGATTTGACTAAAATAAAGACCTCTGTGGAAAAAGAAGGTTTTCATGTCCAGTTCATGCAAATACATGTTGTAGTTATCTTCATATTACGATGCAAAATACTGGCACCTGTGTGTCCACTGACATGAAATCACAAGCTGATATTTTCCTCCTAAAACCACAAAGAAACTCATCAGACTCGAGATGAGCTGGAAACATCAACACCTGCTACCTGTCACCAGTTTCTTACACAGTTTAACACAGCTTCCCGCTTAACTGGCTCATTAATTTGCTCGAACATAAAGCTGAATGTGAAAATATTTGTCATCAGCATAGTTCGCGTTGCTATTTGAAGATACTATCAGCACCTATATGCACATGTATACACTAAAGGCGATGGCAATCTCCTATTTTCCGCCAGGTCTGTGATCTAATCTATTCAAAAAACAGACAAATCTGCAACATCTGGAGAGCGTAAAATGTAAGCAAATCTAACCAGTTGAAAAAAAAATCTGTTAACCTGGAAAACCGGGTTAGAGCAGCGAGTGAGTTTAGCGGGAACGCGATAACCGGGAGGGGAAAAAAGAAAAAAAAACTTCAAAAGGTTAAAAAAACGACATGAAAAGCACGGACAGTGGTTACCGTGTCCACTCTTCATTGCTTTTAACACTCAGCTTCACTTCAGCTCTTTGTATGTGAGAACTTCGTTGTTCTCCGCCGCTGGATCGACAACAGCACCAGCACGCCTGGATAGCTTTGAGGGGTCGTGCCGGAGTGAAATCACTCCGCGGCGCATTTCCAAATGACACACATGTTGGCTCTGAACACCTTTTTTTTCTGAGAAAAACGTGTCAGCGCAGGGGGGTGGCCATAAATCCGCTTTTGGCGCAGCTATCGGTGCGTAATTGTCCCCACAGAGGAGCGGTGAGGATCACAGAGAGAGAAAAACGGAGCATTGGCACAATAGAAACAAACATGATCGTCTTACAAATGTCCGCTTGTGACACATCGACCCCCCTTTTTCCCTTTTAAACAGCACATCAGACACGTCCACTGCTGCGCTACTACGGGGATTAACGCCGCCATGTAAGGATAGGGATGCTGCTATTACACCGTTACCGACCTTTGTTATCTTCGGAGCTGTGATGTGATGTGACGGTGGTAGCGGTGATTTCTCCCCTCAGGCGGACTGCGTGTCCCGGCCAGCCGGCTGCCTCCTGTCCCCTCTCCTCCTTCTTCTTCTCCCTTCTTCTTTTTCCGTTATTTTATTTTAAATTATTTTATTTGTTCGGTTTATTGGAGGACCTCCCGCTCCTTCTGCTCGCCTTCACTCTTGGCTCTCTTCGGCACTGTTTGGGGCTTGTTCAGGTGAAGCAGTCAGTGAGGCTGCAGATCTGCTGTCTGTCAAGAGGATGGTCCTCGCGAGCGACTCCTCGTGCTACATAACGAGAGGCGTTTGCCTCTCTCTCTCCTCTCTCTCTCTCTCTCTCTCTGCGCGTGCGTTCGTGACGCGCGAAGAACGCTGTGCTCGCGCGCTCACTGCAAGCACATATGGTCTTCACACACGCCACGAGCACATTAACGCGCATGGACAATCCTAACGGAAAGTCGTTCGACCGTGACGAGAAAATTATTGTAATACTTATGTAACGTTTCCCCGAATATTGTATCTCCGGCTCCGGGCGCTCCGTTAACCCCGCGCTCTCGGTTGTAAAGTTGCTTCTTGCCGTTCACTGTGAAAAGCTTTTGTGATGCCACGCAGGCTGATTTAAATTTGAAGTGGGGCTTCACAGAGAGCTCGCATGTAAATCTACAGTCAACAGGGGTGCATTTAGTGATTCACGGGCCTTAGGCAACCCCAGGAACGGGGCCTCCCTAATCTATTATTCACAGCATTTTCATAACAAAGGGGTGTTTAGTATGACTGAGGTTACTAATTGCAATGAATGCAAGCATTTAGTAGATTTATTTTTCATTATTTCAATACTTATACCCCCCACCCACCCCCCTCGGTTAATTACAGTTCCCATCCAACCCTCTCAAAATGAGCTGAGTCATATATTTTGTTTTAGCATGTCTAATGGAGACATTCCAAAACACCATAAATATGGGTATGGGCATAAGTTTGTTTGTTTTTTTACAGGTTTACATGACATCAACTTTCTGCTGGTATCATGAGTAACAAGCCAATCATCTCAGCCTTGATAATCAAGTTGTCATGGAAATCACTAATCTTTGCTGCAGTGAGACCACTGTCACATTTAAGTGTCCTCCAACATTTCTGATCCAAGAGGCCCACTCAGCAGTCACAGTCCTCTTTCACAGAACTATAAAAACCACCAATAAAATATATTTGTTTCTTGAACACTATTGTGATGGAAATGTTTAATGTTTTTGACATCTTGCTATTTTGTTTCTATGTCTGGATACAAGGTTCTATAGCATCATGTTTTTGTCTTGATATTATCAGGCGCATTATCAGGGATTGTAACATGTAGTCCTTTTACGGAATGACTCAGTTGCAACATAAACTCAAGTTATCACTTTCACACGTTGTTCTGATTGTATTCTGTGACCATGCTGGGTGAATAACTTGATCTATCCAATCGTTCTCTTCCAATCATCCTCATCAGGGTTGTCTAACATAAATGCTGCTTCTGTTCTAGGACAAAAAAAAATACACACCCCTAAGAGAGAAATAAAATGAACAGACCAAAATATGAAATAAGAAATCTTGGTACAACGGGGAGCGATTTTAAAAAACATGTGATGTTCTTGTCTAATCCAAAAGTCAGCGTACTGGGATAAAGCAGTGCTAGAAGACTGTTAACAGCACGACCATTAGGCAGGGAGGGAGAAAAACACAGTCACACAGGCAGCGGCACGGAGCCGCGTGCCATGATCCAGGAGGAAGCGTCAAAGTATGTGGATGGTGCTGTCGGCCCTCCAGCTTAGCCTCTGCTTTCGGGAACATAGAAGTAACACAGAGAACTTCTTTGTTGTGTTAGAAACAACGACAGCTCTCAGCTTGGAGTCCATTCTCTGTGCTTGTCTCTTAGGTGTTTTGGGTTTTTTTTTAAACACTGGCTGTTCTTTCATGTTTCTTCCTGTTAATGGTGAACTCTACTGTGGTTCCCTTTACTATTCTACTCTATTCTACATATGCATTGCATCACTGAGATTGGGTTATGCGCAGACGTTGCTTTGGAGAACTGGACGCAAATCGAAAATCTTTTACGGTGCATGGCTAAAAACCTGCAGAAACAGATAAAGCACCATTAATTCCACCTCGAAATCAAATAGTAGAAACTGCCGTAGTAGGTTTTCATTGTTACTCGGAAAGACTAGCTCTTTGGCGTCTGCGAGGAACTGCGAACAGATTGCGTTCCTGCGTGGAATGGTAATTGCTAAAAAGTTAATCCTACAGCAGTGGAAATAAAAAGGCTCAGCACCCACATTTGAGCTTTGGATGGGAGAAATGATGAATACATCACATTTGGAGAGTCTGAGACTTCTGAGCGATAACAGACTCAATAAATCGGAGACATCCTGGAATCCTGCACGAGCATTTTTGAAAACAAAACAGGCCGTGCTGTTCCAAACAAGCTTTAATGCTGCTTCAAGGATCACTGTTGTTAGAGGTGCTGTTTCTCTCTTCTATTGAAAAAAAACCCAATACAATTATTGGATATAAAATTGTCATCGTACTTATAGCAGATCTTTTATTTATTTATTTTTTAATGCTGTCGCGTGTGAGTCTTGCAGTGCTAATTGGCTCGAGTGTTCCCCTAATCGTCTCTTTCCTGGTTGGCCCTGGAGGTTTACAACACCCTCACAATCTGACCCACGTCGATGTTTATCGCCCTGCCTCTCTCTCCCCTGCCATTTGAAGTCAACTTTTAAACAGTCTTTACTAAGAAACATAGATCCTCTTTTCTCACGCTTATTACCGTCTCCTTAAACTGGCTCTTTATAAGTTATTATTCTCGTTTGTATTTATTTTGCCTGTACTGTGTATTGCAACTTATTTCCACTCCCTTCTTTTGTAGCCACTTTTGTTTGTTTTTTTATCTCCGTTACTCAAAAACACGTCTCAAAGACTTAGTAGTCATCATATTTTCCATCCTGTTCTTACAATGTTCCTGTGAACTAATAATGAGTCACCTGTAGTGTATTTAAAGGACAGTTGGACTCTTTCTGGCTTTTACCTCCTAATAAATCCCACGTTCCTATTTTTGGGGGGTGAGGTTAAGGATGCTTCCTGAATCCTGACGGACAGACTGAGTAACGATCTGGACTCGGGGGTGTAATAAATTAATGAGTTATTGTGTTTGCAGCGTATTGCCTCCTCCATACGGGTTATTATTCTTGTGAGGAACAGTGCAGACTTTGATTAGGCAACGCTGTCGCTTCTTCCTATTGATCCTGTTTGTGATGAGCTGCAGAGATTGGCCGAAGCTTGTTAAACACCCCGCTGGCATTATAAATTCATTGTTTTTAGCTTGTTTGTGGACCGGCAGTAATGCATGACACCGCCGTGCTGAATGGATATTGTTTAATGGGCTGCTTTCTGATTGATTGGGCGCTTTCTTGTGGTTCCTCTGCAGCTTTTTATGGTGTGTGCTTGATGTGATTCGAGAAGCAGGGACAGATGTTTCTAAAACTTTACTGACTTTTTCTTCTTTGATACAACTGGTTGTTTTTGAGCATTAAAAAATATTAAAGACTTGCAATGGCTAAATTACTATTTATATTTTAAAAGGCTTCAAAAGAGGCTTCTTAAGAAAGAGATACCAGCAAAGTATTATTCAGCATTATATCTGTTTATATAATTACTTTTATTGATTTGTGTAGACAAGAATCAGGTCAGCCTGGACTGACAAAACTTAAAAAAAACCCTGACTTTATCAATATTTTGTACTTCAGAACCAAAGCAAACGTCCATCGTGTTCCACACCATGAATGGCACAAAAGATTGAAAAGAACTGAGGCAGGACAGAGTCATGCACCATTTACTTTATTTTTAAATTATTTACAATCTCTGCCCGCTTGCAGAGATCCCCAGACATGCCTCACTTCATCTTCCATTCGAGCTGTCAGGGTGCAATCAGCAGACATGGAGGGCGCTCTGGATGGTCCGTGACGTTACTTTGACCTGTTCAGGGTCCCTCACGCTACTAACGAGACCCACCGCGCTCCTGCTGTCGGGCTCAATAAGTCAAGGTTGTGATGTTGTGGACAATGTTGCTGGTATATAATATGTGTCTGTGGTGTGCTTACCAGCCATGATTTCAGCTTTTTGACAGGTTACAGCAATAAACTGTTTGGTTATCATAAAGATTCAGAAGAATAAAAACTACACTGCAAAAACTCAAAATCTTACCAAGTATATTTGTCTAATTTCAAGTCAAAATATTAAGTGAAAAAAATCTGCCAGTGAAACAAGTGAAAATGATCTAGTTTGTCTGTAGTTTCAAGATTAACTGTCTTGAAATGTTGCTTAGTAGCTGTTTTTTGTCTTATTTTAAGTGTAATGAGATGTTTTGACTAGAAATAAGACAAATATACTTAAGATAAGATAACTCTTTATTGTCATTGCACAGTCATACATAGTACAATAGTACAATGAAATTGGAAAACTGTCCTACGTCGGCACTACATATAACACAACAC